TGAACACACCTGAACTCACACCTGAACACACCTGAACACACCTGAACTACACCTGAACACACCTGAACTACACCTGAACACACCTGAACTACACCTGAACTACACCTGAACACACCTGAACTACACCTGAACTACACCTGAACACACCTGAACACACCTGAACACACCTGAACACACTGAACACACCTGAACACACCTGAACTACACCTGAACTACACCTGAACACACCTGAACTACACCTGAACTACACCTGAACTACACCTGAACACACCTGAACTACACCTGAACACACCTGAACTACACCTGGAGTTCTCAAGCTGCAGAGGGATTCAAATGTTTCCAGAAGTAACATGAAACGTGCCTGTGTGTGTTGTGTGTGTGTGTGTGTGTGTGTGTGTGTGTGTGCGTGTGTGCGTGTGTGTGTGTGCGCTGTGTGTGTGTGTGGGTGTGTGTGTGTGTGTGTGTGCGTGTGTGTGTGTGTGCGTGTGTGTGTGCGTGTGTGTGTGTGTGTAGCTGCCGTCGTCAGGCCGCTCTGTGTCCGTGTTCGGCGCCTCCTCACTGAGTCTGCAGTGTGACGGCGACAACGCGCTGAAGCTGATGATCAGATTTAAGGCCGACCTGTCCGACCTCCCGACCTCTGACCTCCCCGACCTCCACGACGTCAGTGAGTAGAAAGTTCACTTGAACGGTCCACGCCGACCCTGAGGCAGAAACCTTACAGCAAACCTTGTTCAAAGGTTGTTGTGTTTATAAATCTGTGAATGTTAAAGGTAGGACAGCTGGGGGTCTCAACATGAGGGTTGGGACCCCCCTAAGGGTCCAAAGAGAACAGATGTTTTTTTAATTCTGGTTTCTGTGTTAATTTTTATTTCAGGTCTGTTTCTGAATGAGACCAAACTCCTGGAGGGGGTGCAAGGTGTTCTGGGTAATATTCGCTCCGTGCTGACATCAGAGCCCAAACTGGTTTCCGTGACAACACCGACTTTTGGCTGTTCCAGCGGTTACCACCTGGACAGGGATGGTGACGGTTGCAGTGAGTCGGTTTATGTTGTTGTTTGTTTATCCCTCTGCCTCATCAGAACTCAAATTCCCATGATGCCTCAGTGTCTGTCCCATACACCCAACTCCGTCTCTGTTTTCCGCAGTCGTTTGTCCTGCTGGGAGTTTCTCCAGGGAGGGGGCGTGTCTTCTGTGTCCTCAGGGAACCTATCAGGATGAAGAGGGGCGGGACTTCTGCAACAAGTGTCCCACAGGCTCTTCCCCTGCTGGAACGTCATCTGTCAATCAATGTGAGTCCTGCAACCTTCAGATCTTAATGTAAAACCTGATCCTACATCTAGCGCCCCCCTCAGGACAGTCCTTTTAATTTTACTGATTCACCTGTGTGTGTGTGTGTGTGTGTGGTGTGTGTGTGTGTGTGTACAGGTGTGACAGAGTGTCAGAGGCGGGGCCTGCGGTGTTCAGAGCAAGGTGACTTCCTGCTAGCGCAGCCTGACTTCCTGTCTGGCAGGTGGAGGTGTGTCAACAGTGAGGAGGCGGAGCTTGAGTGGACGAGCAGTGAGAAACCTCTGACAGATGACGAGTGCTCAGGTGACCCTTCCCCTCAGCAACCAATCAGAGAGCAGCTTCCCTTTTGATAGATGTAACATGTGTTTACCTTGAACGTGTACGTGTGTGTGTGTGTGTGTGTGTGTTGTGTGTGTGTGTGTGTGTGTGTGTGTGTGTGTGTTACAGTTCTCCGCAGGTTTCAGGCTGTTCCTGCATCAGATGTTTCTGTCGGCGCGGATGACGCTGATGTTCTGAAAACGATGACCTCTGACCTCACTTCCTGTGTCCAAGGTGACTCACGCACAAAATGATTCAGCTTTAATCGTCTTAAAGGACCATACCTGTCTTTTTCTAAACTAGTTTATCGTTTTAACTCTGAATAAGTAACCACAATCATTAAGCTCCAGTCTCTCTCTTTGTGTTTGGACACAATATTTCTGTGACTCAAAATAACACCAGAATAAATCCAGGCAGCAAAAGACTTTTAACTTCTTGATTGATTGGAGCCGTGATGTTTAAATGTTTAAAATATTCCAGTTGGGGCGCGCTTCCACCCGTGGCCCTTTTCCGCATGTCATTCCCCGCTCTCTCTCTCTGGTTTCTGACTCTATCCACTGTCCTCTCTCTCTCTGGTTTCTGACTCTATCCACTGTCTCTCTCTCTCTGTTTCTGACTCTATCCACTGTCCTCTCTCTCTCTGGTTTCTGACTCTATCCACTGTCCTCTCTCTCTCTGGTTTCTGACTCTATCCACTGTCCTCTCTCTCTCTCTGGTTTCTGACTCTATCCACTGTCCTCTCTCTCTCTCTGGTTTCTGACTCTATCCACTGTCCTCTCTCTCTCTGGTTTCTGACTCTATCCACTGTCCTCTCTCTCTCTGGTTTCTGACTCTATCCACTGTCCTCTCTCTCTCTGGTTTCTGACTCTATCCACTGTCCTCTCTCTCTCTCTGGTTTCTGACTCTATCCACTGTCCTCTCTCTCTCTGGTTTCAGACTCTATCCACTGTCCTCTCTCTCTCTCTGGTTTCTGACTCTATCCACTGCTCTCTCTCCTCTCTCTCTGGTTTCAGACTCTATCCACTGTCCGCTCTCTCTCTCTGGTTTCCTCTCTCTCTCTGGTTTCAGACTCTATCCACTGTCCTCTCTCTCTCTCTGGTTTCAGACTCTATCCACTGTCCTCTCTCTCTGGTTTCTGACTCTATCCACTGTCCTCTCTCTCTCTCTCTGGTTTCAGACTCTATCCACTGTCCTCTCTCTCTCTCTCTCTCTCTCTGGTTTCTGACTCTATCCACTGTCCTCTCTCTGCATTAAAGGCACGAAAAAGCCCAAAATAAATCTTTAAAACATTCCAGCTCCTTGATGTTGTGTGTTGATTTGATTTGATTTAGAGTGATGTGGAATGCTCCTTTAACAGGTCAGAGTTTGTCGTTTCTGCTGTCGGTATTTATCTGATCTGTGTTTGTGTCTCTCAGCTTGTGCAGTGGAGCCGTCCTGCCACCATGTGGCGCTGTTCAACAGACAGACTGAGTGTGAACTGTACAGCACGCACACACTCAACACACACTGCAACACCTCTCAGCAGGTAAAGACAGATCAGCAGCTTTGCTAAAAATGTTTGCTCTGTTGTTTAATCCTAAAAGAAGCCAGTGAAAACTTTAGGTGTGAAGGCTACTACATCTCCCAGAATGCATTTCACTAACAAAACATCCTTTCTCAGAGCTCGACAGCTCTCTACAATGTTTTGAATTGAAACTGCAGTACCCCAGTAACCACTAGGGGTTCATTTATTCATTTTACTTTTCTTTTTTTTTTCAGACCAGTGGGTTTCTGGGTAATCCTCAGGCCGAGCTCTTTGATTGGCTAAGCTGCTCTTTGAGAGTCAGGGGCGGAGCTTCAGATCTAGTGGTCATCAGGAAGAAAGGTTCTGTAACCACGGCGATAAGATGACTGGCATTAACAAAACAACAAACTTTACTTTACCAGCTGAGTGTTTAGTCCGTCAGGTGTGTTCAGGTGTGTGTGTGTACCTGTGTGTGTCTAAAGGGGCGGAGTTTTCCTCGAGGCAGCAGCAGCAGAGTTTTGTGAGGATGACGATGAAGAAGGCGGTCTCAGGTGTGTTCAGGATTCAGGTGTTCTCTGCATCACGGACCTCTCTCTCCGACGCTCATCGTTTCTGTCAGGACGGCTGCAGCCGCGACGCCTGCTGCGACGGGTTCATCCTCAACCAGAACGTCCTGAACGGAGGTACGTTACCATGGCAACACACCTCACCTGAGTGAACGAATGAATGAAATGAGACAATTAAATTTAAATTTACAAATTTACTTAAGTCCTTTTTTTATGATTCTATGAATGAAAACATTTAAAAACAGACTCGACATCAAGTTAACAAAAAAAAGCGGCACCGTCTTTTTTTGAGTTGTTCCCAAAGAGGAGAGAGCGTTAGCAGCAGCCGGTGGTCGCGAGGAAAAAAGTTGCAGCGCCTTTTGTGCGTTTGCGTAAGAAAATGCGCTGACGCTTTTTTAACCATTCAAGATGTCGCCCTACCCAGCAAGAAACCAAAACAAGTGCTGTTAGGCCACGCCTCCTCCATACTGAAGTCTCCAGAGACACACCTCCAACCCCCCCTCCACTGACTTTCACATGAAGGAGTTATCAATTAAAACGCATCATAATTAAACACCAAGAGGTGGACAAACTGTCCTCTGCTCGAGCTGCGATCCCGTGTGCTGCATTGTTGTGTTAGCATGCTAATGTTAGCGCTCTTCAGTCAGCTCGTAGCTTCACATTGTTGTGTTAGCATGCTAATGTTAGCGCTCTTCAGTCAGCTCGTAGCTTCACATTGTTGTGTTAGCATGCTAATGTTAGCGCTCTTTAGTCAGCTCGTAGCTTCACATTGTTGTGTTAGCATGCTAATGTTAGCGCTCTTCAGTCAGCTCGTAGCTTCACATTGTTGTGTTAGCATGCTAATGTTAGCGCTCTTCAGTCAGCTCGTAGCTTCACATTGTTGTGTTAGCATGCTAATGTTAGCGCTCTTTAGTCAGCTCGTAGCTTCACATTGTTGTGTTAGCATGCTAATGTTAGCGCTCTTTAGTTAGCTCGTAGCTTCACATTTCATGTAAACTGACACAGAATGAGCGTGATCTAAAAACTCTTACTAACATCCAAATAATCAGTGAGTATGTTCTTCTTCTTCTCTCTAGTTCTTGACTAAAACAGCTTTTATACACAAGGGGAGGAGCCGGCCGTCCCGTCCATGTAAACACGGCTCTGACAACAACACAGCCAGCGGGACTCGAGCTTCTCCCTCATTGTAGACAGTCAGGACTCAGAGACACATTTACACAGGACACACTTTAGGATTTATTGATGTGGAACACATTCTTCCTTTAAATTAGCATTCTATATTTAATTCCTCATTCTGTCCCGCCTCCTTTCAGGTTCTCTGCTCTGTGGTTGGCTGAGAGCTCCGTCAGTCTTGATGTGCGAGGACCAGGACTGGGATGTGATTGGACAGGGGAAAGCCAGCCGTATCTGTGGGGCGGGGCTTACATACAACGAGCAGCAGAGGAGCTTCGTGTTGGACCTGGGAGGACAGGAGTTCACCATCAGTAAGAGACGGAAACACAAACTAAATCAAATCAAACCGAGAGATGATCTTAACTCTTCTGTTTGTTGTTCCAGCTGATTCTGCTCTGCCCGCCAACAGCAAGAACAAGAAGGACTACCAGGCCTCCATCATCAACTTCCAGGCCGTCTACCTGAACACAGGTACCACGAGACCGGCCTTTGTAGTCTCACAGACGTAGAGATGTAGGACTCCAAATCAAAACTTTTTGAAGGTCTCAACCTGGAATTTAAAGCAGTTTGACTCGGTCTTGTCTCGGTGTCAGACTGGGCGGACTCTGGATTTTAACACAAGATGATGATTATTCACTTATATTTATGGTGTTGTCTTGTCTCGATCTCGTCCTGGCCTGGCCTGGTCTTGGTCTTGGTCTTGGTCTTGGTCTTGGTCTTAACTCGGTCTCGCCCTGTCTTGGTCTTGGTCTTGGTCTTGGTCTTGGTCTTGGTCTTGGTCTTGGTCTTGGTCTTGGTCTTGGTCTTGACTCGGTCTCGCCCTGTCTTGGTCTTGGTCTCGCCCTGTCTTGGTCTTGGTCTTGGTCTTGACTCGGTCTCACCCTGTCTTGGTCTTGGTCTTGGTCTTGGTCTTGGTCTTGGTCTTGGTCTTGGTCTTGACTCGGTCTCGGATCACTCTGGTCTCGGTTAGTGTGGTCTTGACTACTAACACTACACAGACATGATGGACCCAGGTTCAGAGGACAGACCAGTCCAGAACAGCAGCTTTAATGTCCCAGTTTAACTGGAGCTGGATTCACTAGTGACTCCCAGTATCACCATGAATCCAGCAGGAGGAATCTTTTAGGTTTTAAATCCACCACACCTCAGACAGCAGAGAGTAAACACGCTGACTCTGTTTGTTTGTTTGTTTGTTTGTTTGTTTGTTTGTTTGTTTGCAGATCCAGCTCCTGTTGGATCTGGTTCTTCTTCGTGTGCAGTGGCAGCAGAGCTCGCTCCTCCTCTGGACGGTTCGTTTCTGTCACATCAGCAGATCAGACGTTTTAGTTTGAATATTAATGAATAACTTCATCGTTCTTCATATTTTGTCTTTTTGTGCGATCAGTTTCAGTTCAGCAGAAGTTTGAGTCTCTGTCTGAAGACGACGTTCTCGTGGATCCTCTGAGGAAACTCCCCACGCTCTCCTTCTGGCTCAACGAGAACAACTACGACTCCCAGCAGGCACTGCTGTGGTGCCTGACCCGTGCGTCCCGTTGCTCTGACAGAGATATTTCATGATGTTTGTTTATGAATGAAAGCGACTGAAGGTGTGTGTGTTGTGTTCCAGGCTGTGACTCTGAGCAGCTGTGCTCCCTCGCTGACCTCACACCCTCACCTGGATTCTTCAGGTGCTCCTTGTTACCTGACAGCCGAGTGTGTGGAGCATACGACAAACCTCTGAGACGCCCCTGTCGCCCCCTGCTGGACAGAACGCCTAACAACACCTACAGCAAGAAGGGTAAGCAGAGACACCGAGCTCGTCGATACTTTTCAGTCTAAAATCTGTGCTTGTGTTACTCGCTGTTACTTGCTTCATGTTACTCGCTGTTACTCGCTTCATGTTACTCGCTTCATGTTACTCTCTGTTACTGGCTTCATGTTACTCGCTGTTACTCACTTCATGTTACTCGCTGTTACTCACTTCATGTTACTCACTGTTACTCACTTCATGTTACTCGCTTCAAGTTACTCACTATTACTCGTTACTCACTTCATGTTACTCACTATTACTCGCTTCATGTTACTCACTTCATGTTACTCGCTTCAAGTTACTCACTATTACTCGTTGCTCACGTCATGTTACTCACTGTTACTCGCTTCATGTTACTCTCTGTTACTCGCTGTTACTCGCTTCATGTTACTCGCTTCAAGTTACTCACTATTACCCGTTACTCGCTTCAAGTTACTCACTATTACTCGTTACTCGCTTCATGTTACTCGCTGTTACTCGCTTCAAGTTACTCACTATTACTCGTTACTCGCTTCAAGTTACTCACTATTGCTCGTTACTCGCTTCAAGTTACTCACTATTACTCGTTACTCGCTTCATGTTACTCGCTGTTACTTGCTTCATGTTACTCGCTGTTACTCGCTTCATGTTACTCACTGTTACTCACTTCATGTTACTCGCTTCATGTTACTCTCTGTTACTCACTTCATGTTACTCACTGTTACTCGCTTCATGTTACTCGCTTCATGTTACTCTCTGTTACTCGCTTCATGTTACTCTCTGTTACTCACTTCATGTTACTCGCTGTTACTCACTTCATGTTACTCACTGTTACTCGCTGTTACTCGCTTCATGTTACTCGCTTCATGTTACTCGCTTCATGTTACTCTCTGTTACTCGCTTCATGTTACTCGCTGTTACTCACTTCATGTTACTCGCTGTTACTCACTTCATGTTACTCACTGTTACTCACTTCATGTTACTCACTTCATGTTACTCGCTTCAAGTTACTCACTATTACTCGTTACTCGCTTCAAGTTACTCACTATTACTCGCTTCATGTTACTCACTTCATGTTACTCGCTTCAAGTTACTCACTATTACTCGTTACTCACGTCATGTTACTCGCTGTTACTTGCTTCATGTTACTCTCTGTTACTCGCTGTTACTCGCTTCATGTTACTCGCTTCAAGTTACTCACTATTACTCGTTACTCGCTTCAAGTTACTCACTATTACTCGTTACTCGCTTCATGTTACTCGCTGTTACTCGCTTCAAGTTACTCACTATTACTCGTTACTCACGTCATGTTACTCGCTGTTACTTGCTTCATGTTACTTGCTTCATGTTACTCGCTTCATGTTACTCGCTTCAAGTTACTCACTATTACTCGTTACTCGCTTCAAGTTACTCACTATTACTCGTTACTCGCTTCATGTTACTCGCTGTTACTCGCTTCAAGTTACTCACTATTACTCGTTACTCGCTTCATGTTACTCTCTGTTACTCGCTGTTCCCTGTCAGTTGATCTGTCCGGAGCCGTGAAGAGTTTCTACGAGAGAGTTTCCTTCAAGAAGATGGTTTCTTACTCTGTACGCAGCCGAGTCAGCGTGACAGGAAGCACGCCGCTGTCTGACGGGTAACACACACACACAGACACACTCATTAATACACACACACACACACACACACACACACACACACACACACACACACACACACACACACACACACACACTCATTAATACACACGGTAAAACGATTCAAAACAACAAATAATAAAGACGCCATCAGCAGACGGATAAAAACTCAGGTGTGTTCAGGTTCAGGGAGTGTGAGCGGCGCTGTGATGAAGATCCTTGTTGCCGCGGTATCGGCTTCGTCCGAGACACCAAATCACCAGGTAACATGAGAACATTTATCCTGATGGAGGTTTGAGAATAAAGACGTCAGAGTGTGTTTGACTCTGTGTGTGTGTGTGTGTGTGTGTGTGTGTGTGTGTCTCTCAGGGGGGTCAGACGTGGTGTGTCTGTCTCTGATCAGTCTTGGGGTTCAGACCTGCGCTGAAGACGAGTCCACCACCTGGAGGAGTCAGGACTGCAAACCGTCTGTGGTGCAGACCACGCCGGACCCCTTCGGATGGTACCAGAAACCCGGTACTGAACACACACTGATACACACGAACATGACAATGACAGCCCGCTAACGTGTAGCTAACAGCTCTGTTTAGTGAGTAAGCAGGCTCATGCTAGCTCCCTGGACGATCGCCAACTGTTGAAGCTAATTTTACACGGTGGCCGAATCCGGTACTGCAGTGTCACGTGATCGCAGACCAGAGCCGCGGGTTCGAGCCTGACAGTCTGCTCTTTGGGCCCAGTAACACAGAAGAGGCGGGAACTTTTACCTGCCATAGTCTGACTTTTTTTTGCTGCATGCGCCCCTGAGCAGCTTTCAGGGGAATGAATGTGGCTCCACCTCCAACGCTGTATCCATCCTATAATAAGTACGTGGCATAACGGGGCACATAACGTAGTAAAACACACACGCGCTGCTTTAATCACAGAATAGTATAGAACTTAACTGAATAGATCTGCTCTGTAGATCGCTAGCTTGTGATAGCAGGATCGGATCCATGCATCCCTTATAAAAACAAACCGCATATCTACACAGTGTAAGTCATGCAGTGTGTGATGTTGTGTGTTTGTGTGTTTGTGTGTTTGTGTGTTCAGTGAATCAGTGGACTTCCTCTCCGGCGCTCTGTCCTCCGTTCGACCTGCCACCCACAAAAAACAACGGTAAGACGGGTCAGCCCTGAACGCTCAGACCGCAGTACTCCTCAGAGGACTTCAGGTCTCACTCTGCGGTCTCTGTGTCCTCAGTGTCTCTGGATCAGTGGAGTCTCCTCTCAGAGTCCTCAGTCCTCGTCGACCCGTCTCTCTCTACGTATGATGTCATCCACGTGAGCCGGGACATCGCCACCGTCCGTGACAAGACCAGGGACTGGTGTCTCCACGGTAACCATCACGAGAGGGAAAAAAGATTGATTACATCATCAGTAGTTAGAAATTAAGTGCCAACCTGTGAACTCCCTGTGTACTTCCTGTTTCAGCCTGTCAGGAGGCGGAGTCTTGTGTCGCCGTCTCTCTCAGTGAGGCGGAGTCCGCCACTCGCTGCGTTCTCTACCCTGACACCACTGCCTGTGGATTAAGCTCCGCCCCTACTTCGAACAGCCCATCATCCTCCTGCAGACTGGTCATCAGAGAGCCCGCCCCCCAGGTGTACCTGAGGACAGGTGAGCCAATCACAGCGGAGAACATGAAGTATAACAGCGAGGGCAAGAGTCTCAATCTTACTTTTTTCGGTTGTTTTGTTTTGCTCCTTAGAGCGGTTGCTACCGGTTACGTCGGTCTCCATCCCAGGTCATGGCACCCTGCAGGGCGTTGCCGTGGAAACCGCCCTTGGCTCAGACAGGAAGACTGTCGTTCAGTTCCTGGGCGTCCCGTACGCCCGTCCACCAATAGGACCGCTCCGCTTTGAAGCAGCTCAGCCGTCTGATTGGTCAGGAACCTGGGACGCCACCAAACCCCGGTAAATACCCGACTGTTTAACACCGTGTCCTCACCAAGCGGTAACCTCAGATGTTGAAACATGAAGCTGATGCTGAAGTGTAACATCCTGCAGTACCTGGAGTGTCCACTAGAGGCTGGCTGCAGAAGCACAGGAAGTCACATACACACCCATTCTAAAAAGCCTGTTTTTACAGCAGAGATGAACATGTTTACAGCCTGGTTCAAAAAACCAAATAGGTGTGATTAGCTCATGTCTGGATGGACACACACTGTACGGGGGGTGAATGTTTTGATGACTCATCAGTTTTGATTTGATGAAGGATAAGAGTTATTCACAATAAGGCGTGTAGCTGACCTGATTGACAGGTGGGCGCGGTGTAACGGTTTGTCAGGAGGTTTAAAACCCGCCTCAGCTCCAGCTCTCAGCCTGTCGTTAGGTTGACTGAAAGTTACACTGAGACAGCATTTCCAGCATGGAGACCGCCATCGATGGGACTCCAGCGCCCCCTGCAGGGACAGACGGGGGACGTCATCAATGGGACTCCAGCGCCCCCTGCAGGAACAGACGGGGGACGTCATCAATGGGACTCCAGCGCCCCCTGCAGGGACAGACGGGGGACGACACTCAGACTTCAAACATTCAGATTTACAGTCTGTCTCTCTGTCCTTCAGTTCCAGTTGTGTTCAGCCCGGCGATGTTGAGTCTGCAGCCTCCAGTGAGGACTGTCTCTACCTCAACATCTTCACACCTGCAGCTCAGGTGAGTCAGCAGAAAGACTTTAGAATGATTTTCTACAATTCAACAACCACCCAGCTGACCTGTGTGTGTGTGTGTGTGTGTGTGTGTGTGTGTGCGCGTGTGTATTATAAACAGAGGGGGCGTGTCCCAGTCCTGGTCTTCTTCTACAACCCTTCAGCCAATCAGAACCCAGGGCTCTTGGATGGCTCCACCCTTGCTGCTGTGGGTGATGTCGTCGTGGTAACGGCCGGTTACAGAGCCGCCGCTCTGGGCTTCCTGAGTACAGGTGGATATGAACGTAACAGTTCACACATGTTTCATATAAACAAACATCTCACTCACCTTTAATCTGTCTGCAGGGGCGTCTGGTCTCCATGGTAACTACGGGCTGTCGGACCAGGAGGCGGTGCTTCGCTGGGTCAACGCCCACATCTCTCTGGTGGGCGGAGACAACATGAGAGTGACAGTGGGGGCAGAGCGTCGTGGAGCTGACATCACCAGTCTTCACCTCCTCTCCTCGTCTCCTCCTCTGTTTCAGAGGATGCTGCTGATGGTGAGAGAGACGGATTCTTACTCGCCCTCCACTTCCTGGTCATGACATCATCTGAGCTGTGATTGGCTGACTCTGTCTCACTGCTGCTGTTTGTTGTTCCTCCTGCAGGGTGGCTCTGTGTTTTCTCCTTCACTGATTCAGACTCCCTCCGCCTCCAGACGCCAGGCTCTCGAGCTCGCCAAAGAGCTCGGCTGTGACCTCACAGATGATGTCAAGATGGCCGCCTGCCTCAGAGCGACTCCTGTGCACACGCTCAACGCCGCCCAGACCAAGGTAGACATTAAAAACAGGAAGTGGTTTATCTGAAAGTCCTGGTTGCTATAAGCCTCACCTGGCTCGTGTGTGTGTGTGTGTGTGTTTTGCAGATGTTGGCGGTCAGCGGTCCGTTTCAGGCCTGGTCTCCTGTCCGTCAGTCGCTCTCTCAGTCCTTCCACAGAGTCGACCTCATGCTGGGAACATCCGAGCAGGACGGCCTGATCAGCCGAGCTCGCAGGATTAAGGTCAGACATCACTTCCTGTTGACCTTCACTTCCTGTTGACCTTCACTTCCTGTTGACCTTCACTTCCTGATTAATCACAACCTCTCCCTCTCTCTCTCCTTCTGTCTCTCTCTGTCTCTCTCTCTCTCTCTCTCTCTCTGTCTCTCTCTCTCTCTCTGTCTCTCTCTCTCTCTCTCTCTGTCTCTCTCTCTGTCTCTCTCTCTCTCTCTCTGTCTCTCTCTCTGTCTCTCTCTCTCTGTCTCTCTCTCTCTCTCTGTCTCTCTCTCTCTCTCTCTCTCTGTCTCTGTCTCTCTCTCTCTCTGTCTCTGTCTCTCTCTCTCTCTCTCTCGGTCTCTCTCTCTCTCTCTGTCTCTCTCTCTCTGTCTCTGTCTCTCTCTCTCTGTCTCTCTCTCTCTCTCTCTCTCTCTGTCTCTGTCTCTCTCTCTCTCTGTCTCTCTCTCTGTCTCTCTCTCTCTCTCTGTCTCTCTCTCTCTCTGTCTCTCCCTCTCTCTCTCTCTCTCTCTCTCTCTCTCTGTCTCTCTCTCTGTCTCTCTCTCTCTCTCTCTGTCTCTCTCTCTGTCTCTCTCTCTCTCTCTGTCTCTCTCTCTCTCTGTCTCTCCCTCTCTCTCTCTTCTCTCTCTCTCTCTGTCTCTCTCTCTGTCTCTCTCTGTCTCTCTCTCTCTCTCTCTCTCTCTCTCTCTCTCTCTCTCTCTCTCTCTCTGTCTCTCTCTCTGTCTCTCTCTCTCTCTCTCTGTCTCTCTCTCTCTGTCTCTCTCTCTGTCTCTCTCTCTCTCTCTCTGTCTCTCTCTCTGTCTCTCTCTGTCTCTCTCTCTGTCTCTCTCTCTCTCTCTCTCTCTCTCTCTCTCTCTGTCTCTCTCTCTCTGTCTCTCTCTCTGTCTCTCTCTCTCTCTCTCTGTCTCTCTCTCTGTCTCTCTCTCTCTCTCTCTCTCTGTCTCTCTCTCTCTCTCTCTCTCTGTCTCTCTCTCTCTCCCTCCCTCTCTCTCTCTCTGTCTCTCTCTCTCTCTCTCTCTCTGTCTCTCTCTCTCTCTCTCTCTCTGTCTCTCTCTGTCTCTCTCTGTCTCTGTCTCTCTCTCTCTCTCTCTCTCTCTCTCTCTCTCTCTCTCTCTCTCTCTCTCTCTGTCTCTCTCTCTCTCTCTGTCTCTGTCTTTCAGGACTTTGAGGCTCTGCAGGGCCGAGCTGACGGTAAGACGGCGTTTTATGAGGCTCTGAGTCGCTCGCTCGGTGGAGTGACAGGAAGTGAGCTGCTTAAGGAGGCGGCGTCCTGGTTCTACTCTCTGGATCACAGTCCGTCAGCAGCTGGTTACAACCTGTTCTCCAGAGCGCTCAACAACGCCACCAGGTCAGACGCCGAGCCACTCTCTCCTCCCCAGGCCTGACTAATCACTAAAACTTAATCTACAGGATTAACGTGTGTGTGTGTGTGTGTGTGTGTGTGTGTGTGTGTGTGTGTGTGTGTGTGTGTGTGTGTGTGTGTGTGTGTGTGTGTGTGTGTGTGTGTGTGTGTGTGTGTGTGTGTGTGTGTGTGTGTGTGTGTGTGTGTGTGTCTTTCAGAGATCTGTTCATCATCTGTCCCAGTCTGCAGATGGCTAGCCACTGGGCTAACAACAAAGCTAACGTCTTCCTGTACCACCATCCAGCCTCCAGCGCTGACAGCAGGTACCGACTATTTCCTGGAACGTGTTGAGCTCATCGTCTCTCGTGGTCATTGTGGTCACACACGACTTCCTCCAGACCCTCTCATGACCTCATCCTAAAGATACGTGGTTTCAAACAGGTATCCATGTTGTTTTGATATTTGATATTTGTTATTCATGTTCAGGGCCGAGGTGTCTGTTCCTCTGGACGTTCAGTTTGTGTTCGGGACTCCTCATCGTCCAATTAGCGCTCAGCGTTTCTCCTCGTCTGACCGCCGCCTCTCTCTGGCGGCGATGAGCTACGTCTCCAGCTTCGTCCGCAGCGGGTCAGTCAGCCTGTCACGTCTCTCATCAATCAGCTGAAGAGCGACCTTTAACCGCCTCACATGATGTTTGTTTTCTTTCTCAGGAACCCAAACCCTTCGCCTGTGTGGGCGGAGTCAGCTCTGCCCCGCTGGCAGCAGGTGCTGTCCTCTGAGGCCACGCCCACCTACCTGCAGCTTAGCCCCACCCTTGAACATCAGCATGGTCTGAGTCGGAACTCGTGTTCGTTCTGGAGTGGACTTGGAAGCAGACTGAGCGGTGAGAGGAAACACAGACGTCTTCACGCCGTCCAGATTTATTCTTTAAGTTCAAAGGTTGAATCAGACGATCTCTTCATGTTGAAAGTTGACTCTTCTGCCTCCAGGTAATTCGGGGGCGGAGCCTGTCCAGCCTGCGTTGACCCTTGCGATCCCATTGGCTGCTCCATCCAGCCAATCACAGACCGAGAAAGACGCCTACAGCTGAGCGGATGACATCATCACCTCTTCTTCATGACATCACAGTTTCCTGTTTTATTATTCACATTGATCACAAATGTCAAAATCAATAAAAGCATCTTAAACTCCACCAGAGTCTGTCTGTGAAGCTGCAGTTCCTCTAGCTGCCACTACATGTCGCTGTTCTTCAAAATTTTAAAATAAAACGAGTCAGCAGATTCTCTAAAAGTCATCACGAGCTTCATTAATTAAAGATTTTAATATAAAGAATATCGTTTTTATTTTGAATATTCTTAATCATCTCAGATGCAGAAAATGGAAATTAAAAAAGGTTAAAAGTAGAGATAAATAGAAAAGCCTGCTGACTTTCTATGTTTTTATTTCTTCATAATAATTTTAATATTTATAAGATCATTTTGATCCAGCGGATAAAAAATAAAATCTATAATCTTAAGTCCTGATAATTATCTGACCATGTAAGGTGCGGCTCGACTTCCAAACTATCTAAATGATGAATCATGTGATTCAACCTGTGACCACCGGGTGGAGCTCTGTTCCCACTGCAGAGCTGGAGTTGCTGGCCCCTCCCCCCTCCCTCCTCCACCTGTGAGGTGAGGCAGGTGTATAAAGGAGTCTTTCTCTGGATGGAAACAGACTCCTGCAGACGCTCACACTGAGATCTTTGTCACTGACGTTCAGATTTCCTGCTCAAAGATGAAGACGCTGCTCGCTCTCTGCATCGCTCTCGCCGTCACCGCCTCAGGTAAGACGAACACGCTCGCCTGCAGGTGTACCTGACAATGTTCTGAGATTTGATTCAAAGAGGAAAGGAACAAATCACAGAAACATCAAGCAGAGGACAGAGACTCTACAGAATATATTTAGAGGAGAGAGAACACCTGAGGAGTTTAAAGGTCAGAGTGTATTAATGTTGATTTATTCTTTTATATTAAAGTCAGCTGACAGGAAGAACATTAGACAGCAGGACACCGAGCAGGTGAAACTCTCTTTTCATCGTTGATAAATGAATTCATTTGTAGTTTCAGAAAGTCAGTTTTAAATGTCAGATCCGGTTTATTGTGACACAAAACAGAGAAGAAAAAAATCTGAGAAAGTTTTTATCTGAACCGGACTCAGATCAGCCCTGAAGACTTCTTAGGAACTATAAACACCAGAACACACCTTCAAGGAGATAGAGGGAAGTTTACAGTTACTTTAAAGAGCTGTAGTCAAGACCAAGACCAAGACCAAGACCAAGATCAAGGCAGGCGAGACCGAGACCAAGAACAAGACCAAGATCAAGGAAGGGTCAATTCAATTCAATTCAATTCAATTCAATTCAGAAAACTTTATTTGTCCCCAGGGGGCAATTCAAAGGCACACAGAGCAGTAAATTAACAACAGTGCAAGTAAACAAAACAGTTTAACCTAAATAGAAAGTGTCAATTTAAATACAACTTAATCTTTAACTACTAACAGATGTAAACAGATGTAAACAGAACTATGTGCAGTAAACAAGAAATAAATATATATATACAGAGCTATGTGCAAGTAGGCAAATACTAAATGATAAGTTATTAAGGTGAATAATGGAACAACAGAACTAATATATACAATATAACTGTAAGGTAAAAATTAGATAAATAAAGTGACCGTAGTGCAATGATGGATAAGAAACAACAGGAATAAATTAACCAGAACTGTATGAATACTGAAATAGAAAGGATAGAATAAAGTGATGTAGTGCATGAGACCAGATAAAGCAGAGGCAGTGAGAGGGTGAGACCAAGACCAAGACCACAGCAGGAAGAGACCAAGACTAGACCAAGACTAGACCAAGACCAAGACCAAGGCCAAGGCCAAGACCAAGACCAAGACCAAGACCAAGACTAGACCAAGACCAAGACCACAGAAGGAAGAGACCAAGCCAAGACCAAGACTAGACCAAGACCAAGACCAAGACCAAGACCAAGACCAAGACCAAGACCAAAACCAAGACCAAGACCAAGACTAGACCAAGACCAAGACCACAGCAGGAAGACACCAAGCCAAGACCAAGACTAGACCAAGACCAAGACCAAGACCAAGACCAAGCCCAAAACCAAGACCAAGACCAAGACCAAGACCAAGACTAGACCAAGACCAAGACCACAGCAGGAAGAGACCAAGCCAAGACCAAGACTAGACCAAGACCAAGACCAAGACCAAGACCAAGACCAAGACCAAGACCAAGACCAAGACTAGACCAAGACCAAGACCAAGACCAAGACCAAGACCAAGTCTAGACCAAGACCAAGACCACAGCAGGAAGAGACCAAGCCAAGACCAAGACTAGACCTAGACCAAGACCAAGACCAAGACCAAGACCAAGACCAAGACCAAGACCAAGACTAGACCAAGACCAAGACCACAGCAGGAAGAGACCAAGCCAAGACCAAGACTAGACCAAGACCAAGACCAAGACCAAGACCACAGCAGGAAGAGACCAAGACCAAGACCAAGACTAGACCAAGACCAAGACCACAGCAGGAAGAGACCAAGCCAAGACCAAGACTAGACCAAGACCAAGACCAAGACCAAGACCAAGACCAAGACCAAGATCAAGGCAGGCGAGACCGAGACCAAGAACAAGACCAAGATCAAGGAAGGGTCAATTCAATTCAATTCAATTCAATTCAATTCAGAAAACTTTATTTGTCCCCAGGGGGCAATTCAAAGGCACACAGAGCAGTAAATTAACAACAGTGCAAGTAAACAAAACAGTTTAACCTAAATAGAAAGTGTCAATTTAAATACAACTTAATCTTTAACTACTAACAGATGTAAACAGATGTAAACAGAACTATGTGCAGTAAACAAGAAATAAATATATATATACAGAGCTATGTGCAAGTAGGCAAATACTAAATGATAAGTTATTAAGGTGAATAATGGAACAACAGAACTAATATATACAATATAACTGTAAGGTAAAAATTAGATAAATAAAGTGACCGTAGTGCAATGATGGATAAGAAACAACAGGAATAAATTAACCAGAACTGTATGAATACTGAAATAGAAAGGATAGAATAAAGTGATGTAGTGCATGAGACCAGATAAAGCAGAGGCAGTGAGAGGGTGAGACCAAGACCAAGACCACAGCAGGAAGAGACCAAGACTAGACCAAGACTAGACCAAGACCAAGACCAAGGCCAAGGCCAAGACCAAGACCAAGACCAAGACCAAGACTAGACCAAGACCAAGACCACAGAAGGAAGAGACCAAGCCAAGACCAAGACTAGACCAAGACCAAGACCAAGACCAAGACCAAGACCAAGACCAAAACCAAGACCAAAACCAAGACTAGACCAAGACCAAGACCACAGCAGGAAGACACCAAGCCAAGACCAAGACTAGACCAAGACCAAGACCAAGACCAAGACCAAGACCAAGACCAAGACCAAGACCAAGACCAAGACCAAGACTAGACCAAGACCAAGACCACAGCAGGAAGAGACCAAGCCAAGACCAAGACTAGACCAAGACCAAGACCAAGACCAAGACCAAGACCAAGACCAAGACTAGACCAAGACCAAGACCAAGACCAAGACCAAGACCAAGACCAAGACCAAGTCTAGACCAAGACCAAGACCACAGCAGGAAGAGACCAAGCCAAGACCAAGACTAGACCTAGACCAAGACCAAGACCAAGACCAAGACCAAGACCAAGACCAAGACCAAGACCAAGACCAAGACCAAGACTAGACCAAGACCAAGACCACAGCAGGAAGAGACCAAGCCAAGACCAAGACTAGACCAAGACCAAGACCAAGACCAAGACCACAGCAGGAAGAGACCAAGACCAAGACCAAGACTAGACCAAGACCAAGACCACAGCAGGAAGAGACCAAGCCAAGACCAAGACTAGACCAAGACCAAGACCAAGACCAAGACCAAGACCAAGACCAAGAAGACCAAGACCAAGGCAGGGCGAGACCGAGACCAAGACCAAGACCAAGACCAAGACCAAGACCAAGACCAAGACCAAGACCAAGACCAAGGCAGGGCGAGACCGAGACCAAGGAAGGGTGAGACTGAGACCAAGACCAAGACCAAGACCACGGCAGGAAGAGACCAAGACCAAGACCAAGACCAAGACCAAGACCAAGGCAGGGCGAGACCGAGACCAAGGCAGGGCGAGACCAAGACCAAGACCAAGGAAGGGTGAGACCAAGACCGAGACCAAGACCAAGGCAGGGCGAGACCAAGACCAAGACCAAGGAAGGGTGAGACCGAGACCAAGACCAAGACCACGGCAGGAAGAGACCAAGACCAAGACCAAGGAAGGGTGAGACCGAGACCAAGACCAAGACCACGGCAGGAAGAGACAAAGACCGAGACCGAGATAGGGTGAGACCAGGACATTTAGGGATTGAGACCGAGTCTCTACTAACGTCCTGAAGCGTCCACTGGGCGGCGCCAAACTCAACAAATTAACCAGAACTGTATGAATACTGAAATAGAAAGGATAGAATAAAGTGATGTAGTGCATGAGACCAGATAAAGCAGAGGCAGTGAGAGGGTGAGACCAAGACCAAGACCACAGCAGGAAGAGACCAAGCCAAGACCAAGACCAAGACCAAGACCAAGACCAAGACCAAGACCAAGACCAAGACCAAGTCCAAGACTAGACCAAGACCAAGACCACAGCAGGAAGAGACCAAGCCAAGACCAAGACCAAGACCAAGACCAAGACCAAGACCAAGACCAAGACCAAGACCAAGTCCAAGACTAGACCAAGACCAAGACCACAGCAGGAAGAGACCAAGCCAAGACCAAGACCAAGACCAAGACCAAGACCAAGACCAAGACCAAGACCAAGACAGGGCGAGGCCGAGACCAAGACCAAGGCAGGGTGAGACTGAGACCAAGACCAAGACCACGGCAGGAAGAGACCAAGACCAAGACCAAGGAAGGGTGAGACCAAGACCAAGACCAAGACCAAGACCACGGCAGGAAGAGACCAAGACCAAGACCAAGGAAGGGTGAGACCGAGACCAAGACCAAGACCACGGCAGGAAGAGACCAAGACCGAGACCGAGACCGAGATAGGGTGAGACCAGGACATTTAGGGATTGAGACCGAGTCTCTACTAACGTCCTGAAGCGTCCACTGGGCGGCGCCAAACTCAACAAATTAACCAGAACTGTATGAATACTGAAATAGAAAGGATAGAATAAAGTGATGTAGTGCATGAGACCAGATAAAGCAGAGGCAGTGAGAGGGTGAGACCGAGACCAAGACCACAGCAGGAAGAGACCAAGCCAAGACCAAGACCAAGACCAAGACCAAGACCAAGACCAAGACCAAGTCCAAGACTAGACCAAGACCAAGACCAAGACCAAGACTAGACCAAGACCACAGCAGGAAGAGACCAAGCCAAGACCAAGACCAAGACCAAGACCAAGACCAAGACCAAGACCAAGACCAAGACCAAGACTAGACCAAGACCACAGCAGGAAGAGACCAAGCCAAGACCAAGACCAAGACCAAGACCAAGACCAAGACCAAGACCAAGACCAAGACTAAGACCAAGACCAAGACTAGTCCAAGACCAAGACCACAGCAGGAAGAGACCAAGCCAAGACCAAGACCAAGACTAGACCAAGACCAAGACCAAGACCAAGACCAAGACCAAGACCAAGACCAAGACCAAGACTAGACCAAGACTAGACCAAGACCAAGACCACAGCAGGAAGAGACCAAGCCAAGACCAAGACTAGACCAAGACCAAGACCAAGACCAAGACCAAGACCAAGACCACAGCAGGAAGAGACCAAGCCAAGACCAAAACCAAGACTAGACCAAGACCAAGACCAAGACCAAGACCAAGACCAAGACCAAGACCAAGACCACAGCAGGAAGAGACCAAGCCAAGACCAAAACCAAGACTAGACCAAGACCAAGACCAAGACCAAGACCAAGACCAAGACCAAGACCAAGACTAGACCAAGACCAAGACCACAGCAGGAAGAGACCAAGCCAAGACCAAGACCAAGACTAGACCAAGACCAAGACCAAGACCAAGACCAAGACCAAGACCAAGACCAAGGCAGGGCGAGACCAAGACCAAGGAAGGGTGAGACTTAGACCAAGACCAAGACCAAGACCAAGACCAAGACCAAGGCAGGGCGAGACCAAGGCAGGGGGCGAGACCAAGACCAAGACCAAGGAAGGGTGAGACCAAGACCAAGACCAAGACCAAGGCAGGGCGAGACCAAGACCAAGACCAAGGAAGGGTGAGACCGAGACCAAGACCAAGACCACGGCAGGAAGAGACCAAGACCAAGACCAAGGAAGGGTGAGACCGAGACCAAGACCAAGACCACGGCAGGAAGAGACAAAGACCGAGACCGAGATAGGGTGAGACCAGGACATTTAGGGATTGAGACCGAGTCTCTACTAACGTCCTGAAGCGTCCACTGGGCGGCGCCAAACTCAACAAATTAACCAGAACTGTATGAATACTGAAATAGAAAGGATAGAATAAAGTGATGTAGTGCATGAGACCAGATAAAGCAGAGGCAGTGAGAGGGTGAGACCGAGACCAAGACCACAGCAGGAAGAGACCAAGCCAAGACCAAGACCAAGACCAAGACCAAGACCAAGACCAAGACCAAGACTAGACCAAGTCCAAGACTACCAAGACCAAGACCACAGACCAGAAGAGACCAAGCCAAGACCAAGACCAAGACAAGACCAAGACCAAGACAAGACCAAGACCAAGACTAGACCAAGACCAAGCCAAGACCAAGACCAAGACCAAGACCAAGACCAAGACCAAGACTAGACCAAGACTAGACCAAGACCACAGCAGGAAGAGACCAAGCCAAGACCAAGACCAAGACCAAGACCAAGACCAAGACCAAGACCAAGACCAAGACTAGACCAAGACCAAGCCAAGACCAAGACCAAGACCAAGACCAAGACCAAGACCAAGACCAAGACCAAGACCAAGACCAAGGCAGGGCGAGACCAAGACCAAGACCAAGGAAGGGTGAGACCAAGACCAAGACCAAGACCAAGACCAAGACCAAGACCAAGACCAAGACCAAGACCAAGGCAGGGCGAGACCAAGGCAGGGGGCGAGACCAAGACCAAGACCAAGGAAGGGTGAGACCAAGACCGAGACCAAGACCAAGGCAGGGCGAGACCAAGACCAAGACCAAGGAAGGGTGAGACCGAGACCAAGACCAAGACCACGGCAGGAAGAGACCAAGACCAAGACCAAGGAAGGGTGAGACCGAGACCAAGACCAAGACCACGGCAGGAAGAGACCAAGACCGAGACCGAGACCGAGATAGGGTGAGACCAGGACATTTAGGGATTGAGACCGAGTCTCTACTAACGTCCTGAAGCGTCCACTGGGCGGCGCCAAACTCAACAAATTAACCAGAACTGTATGAATACTGAAATAGAAAGGATAGAATAAAGTGATGTAGTGCATGAGACCAGATAAAGCAGAGGCAGTGAGAGGGTGAGACCGAGACCAAGACCACAGCAGGAAGAGACCAAGCCAAGACCAAGACCAAGACCAAGACCAAGACCAAGACCAAGACCAAGACCAAGACCAAGTCCAAGACTAGACCAAGACCAAGACCAAGACTAGACCAAGACCACAGCAGGAAGAGACCAAGCCAAGACCAAGACCAAGACCAAGACCAAGACCAAGACCAAGACCAAGACTAAGACCAAGACCAAGACTAGTCCAAGACCACAGCAGGAAGAGACCAAGCCAAGACCAAGACCAAGACTAGACCAAGACCAAGACCAAGACCAAGACCAAGACCAAGACCAAGACCAAGGCAGGGCGAGACCGAGACCAAGGCAGGGCGAGACCAAGACCAAGACCAAGGAAGGGTGAGACCAAGACCGAGACCAAGACCAAGGCAGGGCGAGACCAAGACCAAGACCAAGGAAGGATGAGACCGAGACCAAGACCAAGACCACGGCAGGAAGAGACCAAGACCGAGACCGAGACCGAGATAGGGTGAGACCAGGACATTTAGGGATTGAGACCGAGTCTCTACTAACGTCCTGAAGCGTCCACTGGGCGGCGCCAAACTCAACACAGGAGCTGTACATCCATTTTACGTGTAATTCTTCATCTCTCCTTAGTGTCCTCCACTACAACTCCTGTTGCCGTGACAACCGCCTCATCACCAGTCACCATCAGTCGGGATGTTCCTACACTCGCCGTTACAACGACAACTGACAGCACCGTCACCCTGACCAGCGAAGGGCCAACAACACCCGTCAACGGTTCAAACTCCAACCAGACGACGGCGTCGCCTGACCCAGGCACGAACACCACTGCTGCTGTTGGCAACGTCACCGCGTCCGGCAACACAACCACACCCGGCGTCACCATGACAACGGTCTCAACAAACAGCACAAACAGCTCTTCTGCAACCACAACAACAAACTCCACTCAGGCTACGACGGCTCCCCTAGACAACGCCACTCAGGCAAACTCTTCATCCTGCACCACCGCCACCAAGCCAGTGTCTAACGTAACCATGGCAACAACAGCCACAAAAGCTAGCAGCAGCATGGCCCCGCCCCTAGCCAGCGGCAGTGGTGGTGGTGGCGTACCCGGGTGGGGGATTGCTCTGCTGGTCCTCGCTGCTCTGGTTCTGCTGCTGCTCTTACTGCTTCTGATCGTTTTGGTGAGTCTTGTGCTTAGCTTAGCTTAGCTTAGCTTAGCTTAGCTTAGCATAGCATAAAGACTGTTAGCATGACTCTCTTCTATCATTGCTCTGAGTCTGCACTGACTCTAACAAGGTGTTTTCTTCTTCTCTGCAGCTGGTGTGGTGGTGCTGCTGTAGGGGGCGCCAAAGAGTCTTAAGTCCCTTCGACGTGGACCACAAAGACGATATCCCGCTGTACACCACGCACGGACGCTTCGGACGAGCCAATGGGGTCGCATATGTAAGAAAAACAAACACGCCTGCTTACAAAGTTATCAGACATGAAGCTGACGAGGACGGGGAGGTTTGTCACACCCTCTAAAGCCCGGCTCACACTGCAGCAGTTTTATAACCATGACCAGTCACACTACGAGATAATTGGTTCAGGTGTCAGGAAGAAATCGGAGCTCTTATCGACCCGATGTTCCTGCAGAGTCAAGCTTAAGTTAAATCAAACGACTTCGATACCACGGCAACAAAAATAGAAGTCCAAATGTCGAGTCAGTTATTGTTTTTAATTTACAAAAATCCTCCAAGTTACCAACCAACAACAACCAAAATACAGACGTAGACATCAAATGATGGGAAGTTAAGTTTAATAATTATCAGTAATTGCTTGTGTGTGTGTGTGTGTGTGTGTGTGTGTGTGTGTGTGTGTGTCAACATTTACTCAGGTACTCAGGAATAATGCCGACACCTACCTGTGTCTTTAAGTGTTTATTGATTCAGTGATAATGACTCGAGCTCTTATTGTGAAAGGTAAATCATTACAGTCTGAGGCTACATGGCGAGCGAGGATCTTTAAACGCTTAGCGAGGCGTCTTTAATGTTGACGTCACGTTTGTTCACGAGGGAATAAAACGTTAAATCCAGACGTTCATGTTTTACAGGATGAATTGGACGAACCAACGAAGAAGAACGAGACGAACGTCTACACCATCAATCAGTGAAATGAAGCAGCGACGGATAAACGATCAGAGAAGAAGAACTTGTTGTGATTTAAATTCTCATGTTAAACTTAAAGATCCTGTTTCATTATGTTTGTCTGATAATAAACTGTGTAAATGTTTTTTAATGTTTGATAATTAAAACATTTTCATAAATGTAAAAATTCCTGAATTTCCCCCGGGGGATGAATAAAGTATTTATCTATCTAAAGATCGACCTCTGACCTCAGAGCTTCATTTAAATCCATCATCACAAACAGTAAAGGAAGAATATGTGATCCTCTATTTCAGCCCTGCTCACAACAGGCTGTTTCTGTGTCTGTACTTTTAAATATGTAAATGAGCTGTGTCTGACCACGCCCCCTCTCTGGAAGGGCTTGGGTGTACTCGGTCTTTCTCTCTCTATGTCCTATTGTTTATGAAGGGCAGATTAGGAAGAACATCTCCAAACGGCCTGTGAGCACACATTTTCTGAAAAGTGGAGCAACGAGCCCATCAGAGGAAACACTCTGACCTTTGACCCTAGCACAAACAGTGATGTCATAGAGTGTGATACTTTGGTAAGTTTTAATAAAACTGTAGAGGTCGTCATCATGCAGAATAATAATGTTTAAATTAGGTTATAAATGTTGTAGCAGGTAAATGTAGAGCGGCGCTCTGAGGCAGGACGCCCCAGGAGTGACAGCGGGTCGTCCACTGGTCAGTGGGTCGGCTGTTTGACCTCAGGTAGACGGACAGGTGAGATGGCCTGCTGTGAGGATGACGTCATGATGCAGATTAAGAAGAATGAACGTCTATCTGTTTTAATGATGTTGGCAGCTTGTCACCATGAGGAGAGGAGGAGTGATGCTGCTCACAGGTAAACTCACCTCCATCACTGGGATTCAAACTAAAACTTACAAAACAAATAATAACAGACAGAACGGGGACAGCTCAGTCAGTTTGACAGAAACCAGCAGGTAACATTTACAGGAAACCCTGTGTCTATGAAGTCAATCTCACAGCTTCCTGTTGTGTTTATGATCTAAAGTGTTTGTTAAAGCTGCAGCTTCCTGTCTTTGTGTTTTATTATATCGACATTCAGATCCTGTTTCAGCCTGGCAGCAGCGTCTCTCTCCCCCTTTGTTCTGTTTTGTGTTCTTGAAGGAGGAAGTCCCGGCTGAAAGTGGATCCTCTTTGTTGCAGGTTTTATTCCTCATTCTGAAAGCTCGAGCACACAAAGAGCTGGAGAGAGGAAGTGAAGTTGAGGGTGGAGCGAGGAAGGGCAGCGGAGGAATTTGTGGATGTTTGATATGAGCTGATATGAACATAAAGAGACGGACGGGCACGGCTGAGTCAACACAGGAATATCTCACAGAGTGTTTAATGTTCACTCAAGTTTATTTCTGTCAACACAAGTCGACGCTCGTTCGTCTCTGAGTTGTGAATGGAGCTTATATAATGATTTTCTAGTCGAGTGTCACACCTTCAAATTCACACACTGCTGAAAAAGCAGAGGGAGCAACTCAGGGTTAAGAGTCTCACCCGAGGACACATCGGACATGTGGCTGCAGGAGCTGGGAATTGAACCCTTGACCTTCCTGTTGAGAGATGACTGACTCTACCACTGAGCCACAGCTGATGTAAATGTAGTAAACTGTTTGTGATTCAGTTCCACTCGAGCCTAAAGTTTGATTTATTCATGAAGAAATAAAGAGGATGAATTTATGTGTAATAATATTTTAAAAAGAGGGAAATGTTGTAATCATGGGGCGCCGTTGGCCTGGTGGTTGGTCCACACGCCCCCCATGTACGGAGGCTGTAGACTCATGACGTGTTTGACATCATGTGATGAGTGAGTGGAAGAGGCGGGGCTTCATAATGACTGACAGAGTGTTAGGCGTTACCTTTGATCTGTCACCTGTGAGTCACAGCTGACTGATCACCTGTCAGATTTCATGTTTATCAGTGTTTGAACAACAGCAGGGCTTGGTTATGACTTTTACTTTAAACATCGCTTTCACCTGAGTGACATCATCACGTCACACCTGAACCTTTCTACATACCTCAGACTTCTGCAGCCAGCCTCTAGTGGACCCTCGAGGAACTGCAGGATTTTACACTTCAGCATCAGCTTCATTTATTCAAAAGTTTCTGCTTTGAAAATACTTTTTAATATCACATTAAAGAGATTAGCAGGTCACAGGTGGAGAGGAGAGGAGAGGAGAGGAGAGGAGAGGAGAAGAGAGTAGAGGAGACAAGGGGAGAGGAGAGACAGAGGAGATGAGACAAGGGGAGAGGAGGAGGAGAGGAGACAAGGGGAGAGGAGAGGAGAGGAGACAAGGGGAAAGGAGAGACAGAGGAGAGGAGACAAGGGGAGAGGAGGAGGAGAAAAAAATAAAACATTTCCAAAAGTTCAACAACCCTCTCAATGTCAACAATTTAATTTATTTGAATCAAAACTGAATAATCAGCTCCCCTCCCACAAAGCTTCCTCCACAGCTCATACACTATTAAACTCTTCCATATTGTCCATCATGTGAAAAAAACCTAATTCCACCCTCAGTCTGGCCTTTAAAAGTCCCTCCAGAACCAGCACCGGTTCCACACAGCCAGTACCCTGAGCTCGGTTCTTACCTGTCAGCCAAATGGTCAACTTGGCAAAGCCGGATAATAATAATACTTTATTGATCCTGCGAGGTGAAATTCATTTTTATACTCTGTCTAGTTAACATGCTACACAAACATAGGCTGAAGTATACACGCACACACACGCACGCACGCACGCACTCACACACACACACACACACACACACACACACACACACAGGATCCTATGGACATGCACTAATGGAGAGATGTCAGAGTGAGGGGGCTGCCTGCAGTGGGCGCTCCTGGGCTGGTGGGGGGGTTAGTTGCCTTGCTCAAGGGCACCTTGGCAGTGCTCAGAAGGTGGACTGGCACCTCTCCAGCTACCAGGCCAATACCCGAACTTGGTCCGTACTGGGACTTGACCCTCCGATCCCCAACCCAGGTCCCTACAGACTGAGCTACTGCCGCCCCAAAAAGTTCATCAATGTAAGAAGTCTTTTTTTTTACAGAATCATTTGGACCAAAATCAAACAAAACAAAAGAGAAATCCTCCCAACAACCTTTTCAAAAGAACAAAGAAGTGTGACGCCTCAGACACTTGTTATCTGAGATGTGTGAATTACAAACTGTCTGTGTGAGAACATGAACCTTGTGATGTACCTGCTCATTCAGGACGTCGCTGCCACCTGGTGGTCAGAAGCTGCAGGTGCAGTCAGTTAAAGAGTCTGATTCAGTGTTTTATTAAAAAAGACAAGGCAGAATTAAACAATTACTCCTGGAACCAGGACTTCCTGAGAACTGCAGGGTGTGTGTGTGTGTTAGAGTGTGTGTGTTAGAGTGTGTGTGTGTGTTAGAGTGTGTGTGTGTGTGTGTGTGTGTGTTAGAGTGTGTGTGTGTGTGTTAGAGTGTGTGTGTGTGTGTGTGTGTGTGTGTGTGTGTTAGAGTGTGTGTGTGTATGTGTGTGTGTGTGTTAGAGTGTGTGTGTGTGTGTGTTAGAGTGTGTGTGTGTGTGTGTGTGTGTTAGAGTGTGTGTGTGTGTGTGTGTGTGTGTGTGTGTGTGTGTGTGTGTGTGTGTGTGTGTGTGTGTGTGTGTGTGTGTGTGTGTGTGTGTGTGTTAGAGTGTGTGTGTGTGTGTTAGAGTGTGTGTGTGTGTGTGTTAGAGTGTGTGTGTGTGTGTGTTAGAGTGTGTGTGTGTATGTGTGTGTGTGTTAGAGTGTGTGTGTGTGTGTGTGTGTGTTAGAGTGTGTGTGTGTGTGTGTGTGTGTGTTAGAGTGTGTGTGTGTGTGTGTGTTAGAGTGTGTGTATGTGTGTGTGTGTGTATTGGGGGGTCAGGCTTCAGGGGTCTCCAGGCTCTTCAGCCACAGCTCCAGGGCGTACTTGGTCCCAGTACTGACCCGCTCCAGGTCCGGCCCACTGGCTGGCGCCCGGCTGACGAACACGGTCAGTGGCAGCGTGGACTCAGTCAGAGCGCCACCTGTGGACACCTGAGACACACTGGACACACAGCAGGAGGTCGAGGTCAGTGAACGCATCACACAACCGTCACAGACACGATGTGAATCCTCCTTAAAGTGCTCGTGTTTGATTCCTTAGTTCACTTTTTCATTTGAGTTTTTAAGTAAACTTAAACACCTGACGCTGCTCGGCAGGTGTTCCAGCTGAACCTCTGTGTCCTCTCCGTCCACAGCGGTCACCATGGCTCTGACCAGCTGACTGTCGGCCCACAGACAGGCGCTGACCTCCTCGGGAGACGGACTCAGAGACGCCTGCAGGGGCGGAGACCACCAAGAAATACATCTTTAAAAAAACACCTTGAAATCTGGATTCTGTCACCAAGTTTCTTTTTATTCTGTACTTTTAAAGGAGACATCTGTAACACTGACACCTAGTGGTTAAAATAGGTACTGCAGTCCGAAATTGAAATCCAAAACACACACACAGCTTGTTGCTAAAATTATGATTTCTTTCTACTGTGCACAGGGGTGCAAACTCATCAGGGATGACAAAGGTGACATGGATCCAAACCTCCTAGGGGGGTCCGGGGTCCATGCCCCCCCGGGAAGATTTTTTTTAAATATCAGCTTCAAAATGTGAATTTACAGAAGATTTTATCATTCAGACTAAAGAAGTAAACAATAAGAAAAACAATTACTTGTTGATATCTATGTTCTGTTGCTCCCAACCTTCAGTCCCTTTTTAGAAATGGGATGAATTTGCAGAACAGGTCTTACCATGTTCCACCAAGAGGTGATGTGAAGGACAGTCACTGTGCAGGCAGCTCTCAGAGTCTGAGAGAACATCATCATACAGTCATCAAGGATGACTATATTTTCTCTTCTATCATTAAATAGGAAACATTATCAATATATGAACCTGATGTTTTAGCTCCTGCTGGTTTTCATTAAGTTTATATTCCCTTTCTTATTACATGTGTTGATCAGCTGTCACTTTAATGTTGTCTGAGATAATAATGAAGCAGAGAGCTGGATGAAGTTACCTTCAAGCACATTTCTCTAAACATCTTTACCTCTGGCTACCAAACAGTAAACATGATCAGACAGGATGTTTAACTTTGAATCTTTCCACAGTGTTTTCACGGGAAAATAACGTGATGTAAATGAGCCATGTGCTGCACATTGAGACTCATTGAATCAGGGTTCATGCTTCTTACGGTCGGTGCGGCGATATTGCGCAATCACGGCCGGCGAGAAGAAGAGGGTCTGCGGAGGGTCTGAGCGCCCAGCTGTGCACCTCCAAGATTTTTGTAACAACACGGACGGGTTTGTGCAGACCGCGTTGAAATGATTGGCTGCAGGGCCCGGAAGTACTTTCTTCAGGCCGTGTTGAGCGCTCTGACTGCAGTTAGTATGAAAAGCATGAATCAGGTCTTCATGACAGCCCCCCCCCCCCCCCTCCTCCAAATGTTTTTATTGCAGATCTAAATGAGCTGTTTCAGGTTTCTTCTTGTGGACAGAGGCAGAAGGCCGGGATGAGATCTGGTGATCTGAGTGTACAGCGAGGTGAGCGTTGACGCCTGGACGAGAGATACTGCACGTCTGTTTGTCTTTAGCATGTAGCCCAATGCTAACTGATAACATCTTTTAGCTTTAGTCAGGCAGAATGCTCCGTTGTACTTTGATAAATGATTAGAAATTCCATGTGACCCCATGTGGGCTCTAGACCCAAACGTTGTGAAAGCCTGGAGTACTCCGAGCTCCTCCTGAATGTCTAAGCTCCTCCCCCTCTCTCTAAGGGGGGCTGGGTCCAGACACCCTCCAGAGGAAACTCATTTCAGCCATTTGAATCTGCTGTAGCTGTCGTTTGTTTACGTTTATGTTTAAATATCCCAGCTCACAGACCTGAGCTTTAATGCAGCGTGGTTACTGATGTTACTGACCAGTGAGGTCACAGAGGGGACATGTGACAGTCAGAGTACCTGGAGCTGCAGGTGAGAGAGGGACGAGTGCAGCAGCATGTAGATGACGATGTGATGTCTCTGAGGGAGTCCTCTGGACAGCATGGGGGGGTACACAGACTGAGGGTCAAACAGAAACCTTTAAATCACATCGTTCAGTAAAGCTGCTCCGGCTCTCTCCGGGTTTCTGCTCAAGAACACCGAGCGCTGCAGGATGACATTAGCTTAGCTTAGCACAAAGACTGCAAGCAAAGGGAAACTGTTAGCATGGCTGCAGTAAGAGGATCAATCTGTGTGTGTGTGTGTGTGTGTGTGTGTGTGTGTGTGTGTGTGTGTCTGTGTGTGTGTGTGTGTGTGTGTGTGTGTGTGTTGTGTGTGTGTGTGTGTGTGTGTGTGTGTGTGTGTGTGTGTCTGTGTGTGTGTGTGTGTGTGTGTGTGTGTGTGTGTTGTGTGTGTGGTCTGTGTGTGTCTGTGTGTGTGTGTGTGTGTGTGTGTCTGTGTGTGTGTGTGTGTGTGTGTGTCTGTGTGTGTGTGTGTGTGTGTGTGTGTCTGTGTGTGTGTGTGTGTGTGTGTCTGTGTGTGTGTGTGTGTGTCTGTGTGTGTGTGTCTGTGTGTGTGTGTGTGTGTGTGTGTGTGTGTGTGTGTGTGTGTGTGTCTGTGTGTGTCTGTGTGTGTGTGTGTGTGTGTGTGTGTGTGTGTGTGTGTGTGTGTGTGTGTGTCTGTGTGTGTCTGGTGTGGTGTGTGTGTGTCTGTGTGTGTGTGTTGTGTGTGTGTGTGTGTGTGTGTGTGTGTGTGTGTGTGTGTGTGTGTGTGTGTGTCTGTGTGTGTGTGTGTGTGTGTGTGTGTGTGTGTGTGTGTGTGTGTCTGTGTGTGTGTGTGTGGTGTGTGTGTGTGTGTGTGTGTGTGTGTGTGTGTGTGTGTGTGTGTGTGTGTGTGTGTGTGTGTGTGTGTGTGTGTGTGTGTGTGTGTGTGTGTGTCTCACCTCCCAGAGTCCCAGTATCTTTGGACAAACTTGTTCTGGTTCCAGTCTGAGTCCAGTTTCTTCCTGTAGCTCTCGGAGTCCGGCGTCCAGCAGCTACACACAAACACAGACGACCATGACGAGGTTTTTACTCAAACAAACGTTTTACATTAAAATGTTTCGAAACAGAGAGGGGACGTACCGTCTCCTCCGGCTCCACATGGCCACCTGGGAAACGAGGAAACGAGGAAACAAGGAAACAAGGAAACAAGGAAACATGAGCTTTAAAAACAAAAATGAACGGAGTAAATCTGAGCAGAAGAATTCCTGATTACTTCACATCACCCAAATCCTACATTTCCCATAATGCAACAGCCCCTTTAGTAAAAGCGGGTTTCAAACCTGGAGGAACCCAAACGTTTGGGAATATCCGTAGCTCCTTCGCTCTTCGTGTGAGCAGCACTCTCTGATTGGTCGTCTGCAGGACAATGGCCACGCCCACATCTATTCCACGCTGCTGGACGTCCAATGGGATCGCAGCCGCCTCCTTGACTGACAGGTGTTTGATGGGACAGAAGGCGGGCCTCTGTGACAGAGAAGGAGAGGTTGATGTTGGAGACAGAGAGATGATGATCGAGGACAAAGGGATCAAGGATCTAAAGGTCCAACCTTCAGAGGAACCCCTCGCCCTTTGTCTCCTTTGGAAAGGACAAACTGGTTCTTCTCCAGTGAGCAGTTCACCTCCACCTCATCGTCAGCGCCATCACTGAAGTGACCCGTTATACTCTGAAACAATAGAAGAAGAAACACACGATGCAAACTGATCGTTCTGCCCCCCGGCACAGAGACGACCCGGACAGGAAGTCACACAAGGAAACCCACAAAACATCTGGTCAATTTCAAAATAAAACACAATATACGCAGCACTGACCTGAACAAACTGAGCTCGTTGTGGAGCTGCTCGGTCTTTACAAACATGAACCAGGATCCTCCTCACTTTGTCCATGATGCTGCGTCACCTCACCTGAGAAGAGAAGAAGAAGAAACCAGGACGTGTGTTAAAGAGGGCGTGGTCTCAAGATGTCCTCATATATCATTTTAATCTAAAAATAAAAGGATGTAGGTACTGTTGGGGAGATGGATTAAACAGGCATGCCTGCTGTTGCCATGGAGATTTTTAAACACTGTCTCATCTCCTCTGTCACTCCTCTCCCTTTGTCTCCTCTCCCCTCATCTCCTCTCCTCTCCCCTCATCTCCTCTCCTCTCTCCTCTCATCTCTCCCCTCCTCTCCTCTCCCCTCGTCTCCTCTCCCCTCATCTCCTCTCCTCTCTCATCTCTCCCCTCCTCTCCTCTCCTCTCCTCTCCCCTCATCTCCTCTCCTCTCCCCTCATCTCCTCTCTCCTCTCATCTCTCCCCTCCTCTCCTCTCCCTCCCCTCCCCTCCCCTCCTCTCCTCTCCTCTCTCCTCTCCCCTCCCCTCCCCTCCTCTCCTCTCTCCTCTCCTCTCCCCTCGTCTCCTCTCCTCTGCCCTTGTCTCCTCTCACTAAGCGAGTGTGTGCAGTCATACGACCAAAACATCGACCGAGCCAGAAGTTGATCAAACCGCTCGGGAGCAGCTGATTGGACCGTGATCCCCCGTCGTGTAGGGTTCAGCTCCGCCCCCTTGTCCAAATATGGTCACTTCCTTTGACAACACATTCTTACTGAAAACATAATCTACATACCATACCTTTAAAGGTAAGTACACCCAGGGATCCAAAGAAATCATCAAATAATCATGGAGATGTTTACTGAGGGAATAAATCAGCTGATCATAGAGTTCTATGGACACAAACTACATGATACACTATTTAAACATTTAACATTGTAGACACTAATCATTCATCATGGGTTCAAAGTTCACCTTTACACCTCGATGATTTCACAGTTAGCATTAAATAAATATTTCTAGTTTTTGTGTTATTTATAAAGTAATATGAGCAGATATTATGAAGCTAACCGAAGCTAACAGCGTCTGTCGGAGGAAATAAAACACAACATGTATCTAAATCAACTTCTGGACATTTTACTGTCTGTATTTAAATCATTACGTAAAATAAAACACCAACAGAAACCCGGTTTGAAGAGTGGACACCTACTGAGCCAGAGGAGACATCGGCTAACGAGCTAACGGTCATGTTAGCATAACATCCGCTTACAACCTTCAAAATAAAAGCCGACAGCCCTATTCTTAAAATGTCTGCCAAAAGCAGACAACTCTAATCTTCTTTCGAGTTAACTTTACGACTTTATAATCTCAGAAACGCGTTGTTTTTAACTCTCGACTATAGTGTCAAAGATACTTAAACATAATTTTGACGCACATTGTTGACTTTATGAAATAAAACATTTAGTTCATCTCTATAATCTCAGTCTGACCTCACATGCCATCCTCTCACCACGAGAGACTTTTATTCTGAAATAAAACATCTGAAATTCTTTTTTCAGTACATCATGAAGCAGATATTATATAATAAATCTAATCAATTTGATGAGCTCAGATTTTCTCCAATAAACACAAAAACATGAAAAAAGTCAGTTTATTGAAAAGACAGAAAAAGTTTCAGAAACAAATCAAATCACAGAAACTTCTCGCAGTGCAAACGTTCACGTCAAAAATTAAAGACAAAAAAATAATTATTTTCATTTGGCAACATTTTTAATTCATTGTATGAATTATCGTTTAAAGTGTTTTAGTTTAAAGTGTTTTAGTTTAAAGTGCTCGTATTCTCAACGTTTAAATCAAAGGGTCAAAAGTCTCTTTATATTTGATCTCTTTAAACTTTTAGGAATAAAACAACTATTGTTGGTTTTTAACCAGGGCAGGTCTGTTCTGTGCAGCATGTGCGCCCTCTGCTGGGCCCCTGCAGACTTGAGTCGTAAACCCTAGAATTTGTAAATACATTTTTACAAGTGAACCGTGTCGCTCTGATGACTTTACTGTCCGAGCAGCTGCAAACACTCGTCTGTTTTTCCCTTTTCATCGGCTCGCTGTTTCCTTTTCGTGTCTTCTGGAGGATTCTGCATGAAAACATTGGATTCTCGTTTCTGTTTTAATAACGTCCATCTTTACAATCAGAGGAAAACCTCTCGCTTCAGTTTGTCTCTGATGACGGCCGACATTCAAGACCAGTGAAAAGAACAAGTCGGCCTCGTCTCCGCCTTTAAACACAATCACAGTTCAACTGATTCGCACAGAAATTACCCACAATGCACTGCACTGTCAACTATGAGTAGGGTTGCCAACTTTTCCAGAACCAAAAAAGATCGAATTATTTCGTTTGTATGTCAGCGCCACAGCAGAGTGTGAATGTAGAAACTATAAATGTGTGTTTGATCTCTGAGAGTTTTTATGATTTGATTTTTTTAAAAGATTTATTTTTGGGCTTTTTGTTAATGGAGAGAGAGAGAGAGAGAGAGAGAGAGAGAGAGAGAGAGAGAGAGGGGAATGACATGCGGGACAGGAGCCATAGGCTGGATTTGAACCCGGGCTGTCTGCTTGGAGGACCAAAGTCTCTGTACATGGGCCGCGCACACTAACCACTGAGCCACCAGCGCCCCCTTAGTTTAACTGAAACTCTCCTCACATCACGTCCCTCAGGACAGAGGTGCTGTCCTGTGTCTGCCTCTTCTGCAGGTATATGTGATGAGGAGGAGCTGTGATTGGACGACAGATGTCACTGATTGATGAGCGGTTGATCTGATGATGGATCAGTAAAGTGTCGGTTAGTGATTGAAGAGAAGTTACGTTTATACAGGACGGTTGGCAACTCGTGTCACAGCATAAAAACAAACAACAACAACAACAAAGAAACAGAGAAACAGTTGGAAAGGTGGTTACAGGTGTTAACAGGAGGCGGAGTCAGAGTGTAGTATCGTCAGCGCTCTGACTCGTGTTACCCCTGCTCCTCTCTCTCCTCAGGGTGAGTCTGGAGGTGAAGACAGAGGTTCCTCGCCTTCATTGTCCAGCAGGGCGACGTCACTGTCACACCGTGCAGCTCCTGTGAGCAGAGGAGCGCTGTCGCCGTCGACCATCACCTGGAGGTCAAAGGTTAAACCAAAAAACTCATCAATAATCTGTGAGTGAATCACTTCATCTATCTTCGTCATGTCCACAGAGATCTTTAAACACGCGAGAGACGGCTGAGAAGCCTCTAAACACTGAGGCCTACATTTCCCATAATGCATCTGGAATTTTGGTACAGCCTCCCTGTCAGTTTTCTTCATAAAAAATGACCCAAGAAGAAGAAACCTGCTTGATCTTACTTTGAGTTTAGTTAAAGCTCCTCATCAGCATTTTTCTCCTTCAAAATAAAATACAGACTTCTCCTTCAAAATAAAATAGAGCAGCTGTCTCCTTCAAAATAAAATAGAGCAGCTTTCTCCTTCAAAATAAAATACAGCAGCTGTCTCCTTCAAAATAAAATAGAGCAGCTTTCTCCTTCAAAATAAAATAGAGCAGCTGTCTCCTTCAAAATAAAATAGAGCAACTTTCTCCTTCAAAATAAAATAGAGCAGCTTTCTCCTGCAAAATAAAATAGAGCAGCTGTCTCCTTCAAAATAAAAGACAGACTTCTCCTTCAAAATAAAATACATCTTCTCCTAAAGTGAAGTTGCTCCATTGTCCCTTCTGGGCCTCCGTACATGTGTGGTGGTGACTGTGTCTGCAGAGACTCTGTCCTCTCACTGGATTTTACTGTTCTGATTTGTGACGGTTGACTGGTTGACGTTTCTGGGCGGAGCTAGTGTGTTTCCTCTCAGCCAATGACAGCGCAGCAGGTGAGACAGTTGAGAAAAAGGTGTCTTACTGTGATGGGAAGGTAGTTTCTGAAGCGGCGTCCGAGCGCTCTCCCGGAGAAGACACAGACGGTGATGGCGACACAGACGTGCAGGACGAGCAGGACCATGAAGAGGCCGAGCAACCCGTACACGGACACCTGAAACACGAGCACGGAGACGTCAACACCGAACGCTGCCGTTGTCATGACAACAGCAAACATTTGACGACCTTACAGCAGATACACGTGTGTGACATGACTGATTACAGACTTACATCCAGAATCCAGATCCCTGATGTGCACGTCTCACAGAGCTGGGAGGACGGGCGGCGAGCCGTGAACAGGAAGGAGATGTAAGCCAAGCCGGCCACGCCCAACACGCCGCTGATCACGTTCCAGACTAGACACGAACACACCTGCAGCACACACACACACACACACACACACACACACACACACACACACACACACACACACACACACAGACAGACAGACAGACAGAGACACACACACACACACACACACACACACACACACACACACACAGAGACACACACACACACACACACACACACACACACACACACACACACACACACACACACACACACACACACACACACACACACACACACACACACACACACACACACACACACACACACACACACACACGTCATGAAACCTTCAGAACGACATCTCAAAAAGAAAAGCGTTCCTCCCTCCGTGGTCACTCACCGTGTGGACTGAAGGCCGTCTGGCTGCAGCCACCGCCAGGGCGCCGGACACGATGAGCTGAGGGTCAGCAGAGGAACACGGTTAGTGTTTGAAACATCGACAGCGTGCGTTAATCAAGTGCGTGATGTTGTGAGTGTGCTTACAGTGACGGCGAGGCAGAACGGGGCGTGGACCAACAGGATCGGAGAGAAGGCGGCGGTCGCACTGAAGAGAACACACAGCACGCCGATGAAGATCTGAACGACCTGGAAACACAAAAGAAAACACACATTGTACGACACGAAAGTTTTTAAATCAACAAGCGAGACGTTTCAGGATGAATCCTCTTTAACTCACCCCCAGGACCTGTGGCTCCCCCCGCAGGAAGGTGGCGGTCATGTCGTCCATCTTGGCGGGAAAGGATGAGACAGTGGGTGTGGCCGGGGGCGGGGTGGCGGAGGCAGGAGCTCCCTGGAGTGGGATTGCCCTCTCGTCCTGAGGGATGACTTGAGTGACAACCACCAATCCACCGACTGTGGTGATGGACGTGGACGTCATGATGGAGGTCAGAGGTCACAGGAGTCTGAAAGGTACATGGAGTTCAAGGAGTTTGAACAGACAACATGCACAATACAACATCTGAACTCATAAAGAGATCACTCTCATGAGCTTCCTGAGTCGTGAGAGTGATTTCAACTTTCTCTAACAAGACTCTAAATCTCTTAAAAATCAAGAAATGTTAAATTCATTGAATTCTAAATGGAGTCCGGCGTAGAAGTCCGTCCTAAGGCACGATGGCTCGTTTTTCAGATTTAAGTGTCCTAATGTCCGGATTAAAATAAAGAATATTATCACTGCTATAATTCACAGATATTATTTAAAGTTAAAATAAACTTATTAACAGATTTAGTAGCCAAAACATCTGAAATCATGAACTCTCTTCACATTTAAAGTCTGCTAAATGTTTTTCACGCATTTTCATTTTAAGACTGAATAAATGATAGTTTCTAAATAAAAAAAAGATTATTTTTCATTCCCCGAATTAAACAGAAGACCTTCTTAAATCAAGAGAGCTCATTAAACCTTTTCAAACAAGCATTTAAATATCTTTAAAACTAAATAAATGTCGAATCCACTGAATTCTGAATGGAGTCAGGCGTATATCACTTCCTGCGCTACCAGGAAGTGTTTTAATAAAATAGTGACGGTTCGTTTGACTGTTTCATATCTCCTCTTTAACATCAAATATCACTTTTATCATTCTCACATCATATTTATCATATTTCGGTATTTAAAAACACTTTATCTGTAAATTAACGTTTTTAAACTAGCCTACATTTAATGTTGACGTGATCGTGACGCAGTAAGGTTAACTTCCGACACACCAGCTGATAACAGTTTAAAGTTACACCTTCATGTGTTAAAGAACATCAGAATAATTATAAAACTGTTTAATAAGAAGGTACCTTCAGGGGAGTTCGCAGGTTTTCAGACGAGCTGAACTTTCGATTCCTCCAGGTTAGAATTATGCTGCCTTCAAGTGCCAAGTATAAGCTCGTAAATCTGAGACACCAGCCAAACATGGAACTTTCTGAAGGAGCTATGTATTTGTTGTTAGATTCTAGTTTGGTGTTTTGTTTACTAAAATAAAAGTGGTGTTGTTATTCTAAACGTTTTCTTTATTTATAATAGATTTTGAATATATTTTTCTTTTGCTAGTTATTTGTTTGGTAAATTTAGATCTGCATAATGAGAATGTTTGTTTGATATTTGGGTCACACTGTGGACACCTGAGGTTCTACAGGTAAGACGGCAGGTAGAGGACCAGCATGCACTTGGGTGGGCCGGTTGGTTATTACCAGCCTTTTAATTAGCAGATAAAAGTTTGATTTACATCGTTTTGGACAAATAGTCACAACGCTATCTCCCGCCCACTACGCTCCGCCAAAGAATGGCGTCTGATCCAACCTTCAGAACAGGGCCCTAAGGGCGCACTCACACTAGACAATCTAGACCCCTGAAGTCCAGTTTGTTTGACTAGTTTGACCACTCTGATCCGTAAACTTCCTTGGTCCTGGCGCGCTTCAGAGAGGTGTGCTTCGGCGCCGTATAGTTCATGCATGAGCACAAGCACGGGTATATGACGTGGACAGCCTCTTTTAGGGAGAAATCCTGCAGTGTTCTGGCTAAAAGTGTCTGATAATGTAGATTTGTAAACTGTGGTTGAACGCTTTAAAGTGCTTAACGTATCAAAATATTTTCCCACCCGTGTGGTGACTTGTCTGAATGTTTTTCAGTTAAGAAGATTTACTTTGCGTGTCCATTTAAAGCATTTCAAGAACGACTATTAGTAGTCTCCTTTTTAGATTGTTATTATTCCGATTGCACCTGAAGGCACCATTAAAATAACATTTCCGGTAACTTCTCCGCAGTCCCCTGTATTTACCACTGTCTGGTATTTACACAGAGAGAGATCCTGCAGGGCTGAGACCAAAATAAAGTCAACAATGATCTCAGAGTCTCTGAACCAGGAAACTACCAACGTATCACCTGAAAGGTACAGACACAGCTCATTTACATATTTAAAGGTACAGACACAGAAACAGCCTGTTCTGAGCAGGGCTGAAATAGAGGGGTTTATAGACATGATCAAATACAGGATCAGAGTGGATTTAGAACAAGAAACTTCACACACATGTTTTGAGGAGCTCTGAGACTTATTTAAACTGAAGAAGAAGAAGAGGAGGATAAGTCAGCAGCTCTGAACACTTTCAGGGTTTATTAGAAAATTTCACACTTTGAAACAAAATTTAATTAAAATGTAAGGCCCAAAAATTACAATAAAGACAAATCATTACAGCATATGGAAGCCTTAAAGGGACATACATCCATGCATTTCACTCAGTGTTCCCATAATAACGAGTAATATGATTGTTTTCTTAAAAGTATGAATGATCAACATGTTCCACATCTATAAATCCTAAAGTCTGTCCTGTGTAAATGTGTCTCTGAGTCCTGACTGTCTACAATGAGGGAGAAGCTCGAGTCCCGCTGGCTGTGTTGTTGTCAGAGCCGTGTTTACATGGACGGGACGGCCGGCTCCTCCCCTTGTGTATAAAAGCTGTTTTAGTCAAGAACTAGAGAGAAGAAGAAGAACATACTCACTGATTATTTGGATGTTAGTAAGAGTTTTTAGATCACGCTCATTCTGTGACAGTTTACATGAAATGTGAAGCTACGAGCTAACTAAAGAGCGCTAACATTAGCATGCTAACACAACAATGTGAAGCTACGAGCTGACTGAAGAGCGCTAACATTAGCATGCTAACACAACAATGTGAAGCTACGAGCTAACTAAAGAGCGCTAACATTAGCATGCTAACACAACAATGTGAAGCTACGAGCTAACTAAAGAGCGCTAACATTAGCATGCTAACACAACAATGTGAAGCTACGAGCTAACTACAGAGAGCTAACATTAGCATGCTAACACAACAACGCAGACCACAGGTGATTACAGCTCGAGACAAGGATGAGTTTGTCCTCGCTAAACTCCTTCATGCAAACATGAGTGGAGGGGGGTTGGAGGTGTGTCTCTGGAGGAGGGCGGAGGCTTCAGTTTGGAGGAGGCGTGGCCTAACAGCAGTTTGTTTTGGTTTCATGCTGGAGCTCAAGGGCGACACCTACTGGATCAAAAAGTTGACATTCTTCCTTTAAGTTTTGAATTAATTAAGGAGTTATCTCAGGATAATAATGCCGTTTCCCCGTGATAACAAGTACATTTTTCTGTATCTCGAGAAGAAGAGTGAAATGAACTCATCATCATGGAAACGCCAGCGTTGTTAACTAAGAAACACCCAAAATGAAATCGTTATCTTTGGAAAGAGAGCTGAAATGAAAATGTCTGGATGCATGTCCTCTTCGAGCTTCAGTTACAGCACGGCAGCATCAACACGACGTTAAATATTCACTATGTGCACATCTTAATCTGAGACACAAGGGGGCGACAGATTCAAGAAAACATTTCAAACAGAAAAAATGTAAAACAAATAAAAATATATATTAAACTGTTTTCTTGTTAGCTCTCATTCACAGCAGGTTTCATCCCGTTCACATTCATACAGTCGTCACAGACTCGTCATAACATTCCAAGTGTCATGCTTCAACGATTTCGACTAAAAAAACAAACGATATTGATACTTATTTGTTACCATGGCAACAACAATAGAAGTCCCAAACGCCCAATGTTGATAACTAAAATTACAGATGAACTCCTGAACACATTCTAATCAGCACAAACACGTCTGCAAAGTTTAATTTGAAATAAAGACAGTGACGGCAGATCCCGGCCCAGTCAGCTGCTCCCGACCGGTCGGATGATTTTCTGGCATGTTTTGATATTTTGCTCGTTCGACTGAACACACTCGCTCAATGAGAGCGGAACCACGTCACGATTCTCCAACTTCGGGACTTTTTCCCTGATTGTGTCACCACAAAAAGTGACAGACAGCGTCCGAAATCACCATGGCAACATCAGGTATGCCTGTTTAATTTAGTTTAGTCTTCCCTTCTACGATCATGGAAGAAACGTTGGCAGGAAATTTCTGCAGACCGGGAATATTAGTTAGTTATGATGTTGTGTGTGTGTGTGTGTGTGTGTGTGTGTGTGTGTGTGTGTGTATGAGAGAGAGAGAGAGAGAGAGAGAGAGAGAGAGAGAGAGAGAGAGAGAGAGGGAAAGAGAGAGCGTTTGTGTCAGCTGTGTGTATTTCAGCGTGCATATGAGACGACTGACTTTAGCCTCCGTCTGTGGGAGTTTTCTATTGGCTGTGAACGCTCCGTCCTGATTTCACTCGTACAGTGTGAGCTTTGGTCGATATTAGTAAAAGATTCGAACAGTGTGAGCTGAGACTCTTACACAATCACACAGTGAATGCCGGGCTTTAAATTGTATTCCCTCTAATGTCCAGCAGGGGGCGACTGGTTGTAAGAAGCAGTCTGATTGAATGGAAGTTTTGGTTCTTTTTGATGCTGATGATCAGTAAAATAACAGATTGTATCATTTTAAGTAACGTGGTACGTGGTCGACCATCGCCGTGGTTACTGCACCACCTTGAGCTCCGGATCTGCGTCCTCTGGGCTGCTCAGGGAGGGAACACTCTCCATTGATTGGATGGTTTTGCTGTCATCTCCAGGACTGACCAGAGGATTCTTTTTTTCACTTTTACTCTGGTGCCACACGTGGAGCCCTCCGAGTGCCAGGAGGCAGATACAGACGACCAGCAGTAAGGAAACAACGACCAGCTCGCTAAAGTAACTCTTCTCTGTCGGAGCGCCATCCAGCGGCTCCTTCAAGGAATGGGAGTCTTTCCTGGAGGTCTTGTCAAAGCCAGTCTTATCTGAATTGTCTTTACTGTGGTTGGTCACTTCTGCTATAGCGACCTTGAATTCATCTTCCTCGTCCTTTATCGTGGGGCGCTCTGGGTCTGAAGTTTTTGTCGTAGCTTTTATTGGCTCTTCAGCCAGAGTGGGCTCGTTTTTGAAGTACGGCACAGGTTCTCGGTCTTCCTTGGGTGAGGGTCTCATGGAGCGAGGAGCAGCACTCAGCTGGATGTTAAAGCTAACTACTACCTCCCTGTGCCCGTCTTCCACTGCCTCGCAGCGATAGGTTCCAGTGGTGTCGGCGGTTGCGAGGAACATCAGGCTGCCGTCAGCTGGCCGGATGAAAAGGTCCTCTGGCAGGGTATTGAACCGAGTGGAGGTCCAGGTCAGAGCTGATGGGTTGGAGGGTTTCTGACAGAAGAGCTTCACTGCTTCGTTCAACTGAACATTGATTTCTAAAAAGACATAAAATATGAGATTAAAGAGCGCTAAGTAAGAATCTACTCCCCCTTCTGGAGGACTGGAGGTAAAGGGAGATCAGTAGACGTAAATGTTGAACCTCAAACATCAGGCGTTAGCTCGGACTAATAAATCTCTCCAGAAGATTTTAAAAGACCATTCCCACCAAGTGTTCCAGTTCACTTTGGGTCAGTACCATTTATTGGCGTTTCTACTTTTAAAAGTTGTGAATGGTACCAAAGTAACCGTTCAGTTAACGTCCAACCCTTCTGTTGGGATGCCAAGCATACCGATCTGACGTTAAAGGGTGGAGCTAGTCAGACAGCAGTCCGCTGATTGGTCGAAATAATTGCTAATTCCCGTGAAACAGCGGTAATAAAGGACAAAAACAAAACTCACCACAAGGCTGTTTTAGTTGTTTAGTGAATGTCTTCTTCTTGTCATAAAAAGCCACATGCCAAGACGATCCATTGTTGCCCTTTGTTTACTGTGTTGCATTCTTCTTCTTCGTTGAATTTATTGGCGGGCTACACTGTTAGCTACACTGCTATGATGTCCCGCTATAATGTAGCTGACGCGGCTATCGCCATCTGGCTTACACTCCGCTTACCAAGTAAGGGTAAGGTTGGTTATGAAACGCAAGCGAGATCAGGGTTTATTGTACTTAATGGATCACTTGGTAGGAACGGAGCTTTATAGTGTGAGACATTACCTTGGTCCTGACTGGTCTCAGTTTGTCCCTGACATTTCTCCTCCACATTGCCGTGCTCCAAGTCCTGAGCCCTGAGGAGTAAACGACAACCTGTCAGTCTAAACACAGGGCTGAGTATCTTTGTTTACTGAGGTTATTCATGGTAACAGCTCGCTAAAAGGGCAAAGTGTCCTCGATGGTAGCTAGAGTACGACAGATGATAACTCATTCTGTCTTTTTATTGTCAGAGTGATGAAGTTTACTTACATGTCCTCATGATTGTCTTCCACGCGGGTGCAGACCCTGCTGCTCCGGCTCCAACCACACAGAGGATCTCTGGATAGAACACACTGGCTGCAGGTTGTGTAGATGGAACACCTGGTCACAGGTACTGCGGTCACGCCCTCCGATGTCCCCAAATACAGCACTCCCTACGGAGCCAGAAAACAAATCTGACTTGTTCTCTGTCTTGTTAGCTCTAAGTGTGGAGCTGCTGACAGCCCAGGAGATTGGAAAGTTTGACATCACATCTCTTATAAATACTGAGGCGCAATTACCACCAACTCGCAACAAATGACCATTTTTCACTCTTACTGTGCATGGCTGTTAGCGGCGCTGTTTGTGAATCAGACACTTTTTACAATGACACTGATTTATATAGAAATGGGACAATTGGACTTCCAAATAACTGCATAATGGTTCATCTGAAAGCTTTAGAGGGCAGAACATCTGCATATTCCTTTTGTGAATCATGTCCTGAAAGTCCTACCTGAATGACAGGTTCAAACTATGAACCTGTGAGGTGACAGTGCTACGGCGATAAAATGATTTCAACAATGCAATGAACTCATGAAACTTCAGACATTGTATTAACAGGATGGATACCTCAGGATTAAAGCAAAGTTTCTACATAATAAAAGATCTTTAAATCCAAACAATTTCATTAAAGGTAGCATCTAATAACCCAAATGTTTGATTGAACTGTTTTATTAAATGTTTTGTCTAACCCTGAAGGTGTGAGGTTTACCTTTTCAGAGGAGAGGATGAGACTTTTCACGGGCTGAGGTTCTGTAAAGACCTGAATCTCCTCCACAACCCGAGCACCCCGATCGAACAAAGCCACTTTGTGGAGAAATCCGGAATCTGGACATCAGATAGAGAGTCGATTATGAACTTATTTACACTTGATTGATGAGCATAATAACCACATCGTCATTATAAACTTTTTATTTTTATGAATGTCAAAGGTAACGTCAGTAAGAAATCTCACCTGTGAGAAGAAAAAGGACCGTGTACTGTTTGCCGTTAGCTGCCTGTGTCCTCATTGCAGCCACACGACTGTACTGCTGCTCTGATGAAACCATAACTGGAGCATTTCCGACCGGTGTTACACTTCTACTGGTCAGGAAACTGTTCTTCACCTCTTCTAAGTCTGTGTCTGAAGCTGTTTCAAGCCCACACTGTCAGGACAACAATAAGGGAGAGTCACATGTTAGCAGCGTGCAACAGTGTTTTATCTGTTATTTTAATAAAACAGAACCAGAGTGAAAATTGAAGACAAAAAAAAATCGGGCCAAGAATCGAACCCTGAGGAACACCTTTTACCTTTGTTCCATTGTAACAGTTATTTCTCGCCTTTTGGTCTCTTCGACATTTTCCTGATTAAACTCAAAAGCCTTAACGCAAAACACACTTTCGAGGACTTTCATTCATAACAAATATCAGTTTATATAATTGGAATTTTTAATTATTTTGGCAATCTTCAGTTTGTTGGATTGTGTGTCCGTCTGCATGTTGAGGTTTTGGCTTTTAACCCTTGAGAAGATGTCTCTAGTGTTTGTTTTTGTTTGCAGACTAAAAGCTCAAAATGAAATAAAGAAAATAGAAATGTAAACACTTACATAAAAGCTAAAGACAACCTTAACCATTTTGGGAACTAAATCGGTCTTTGTACAACATGGTTTCGATAATGTGACCTTCTGACCTTTCTCTGGATTGGTCTCCCCTGTCTTTGACTCCACTGCATGGACTGCGTATTTAGGGTCATGTAGTTCCCTCTGAACACGTTTCTGATGTCCTGAAGCTTAAAGACACACACAGCTGATTCTGGAACTGAGGACCTGAAAGAGACCAGAAATAACCGACATGAAAAGGTTTTAAGTTTTAATATATTTTATTCAGCATAACTGTGGATTCCACGTTTTCAAGTTAGAATCACTACTGTCCAAAACGTTTTAGCAGCACTTTGTCTTTGCCCGACCACTTCAGTCCTAACACCAACCTGAACCCTGACAGAGGGTGTTGTTTGGGCGGGATCCATTTTTACCAGTATGCCTTCTATCTCACTTCTGAGAAGTCATACATCCACCAAGGGCAGTCAATAAAACAAGAGTTTGACATTTGTGTTTATTTGTGTTAGTCAACTAGACCAGCTCTTCAAGATTAATCAAAACCTCTCCAGTCACCTGTTAGCTAGGATCAGTACCAGGTCCCAGTCTGATGACCTGTTAGCTAGGATCAGTACCAAGTCCCAGTTTTATGACCTGTTAGCTAGGATCAGTACCAAGTCCCAGTTTTATGACCTGTTAGCTAGGATCAGTACCAGGTCCCAGTTTTATGACCTGTTAGCTAGGATCAGTACCAAGTCCCAGTCTGATGACCTGTTAGCTAGGATCAGTACCAGGTCTCAGTCTGATGACCTGTTAGCTAGGATTAGTACCAGGTTTCAGTCTGATGACCTGTTAGATAGGATCAGTACCAAGTCCCAGTCTGATGACCTGTTAGCTAGGATTAGTACCAGGTTTCAGTCTGATGACCTGTTAGCTAGGATTAGTACCAGGTCTCAGGCTGATGACCTGTTAGCTAGGATTAGTACCAGGTTTCAGTCTGATGACCTGTTAGCTAGGATTAGTACCAGGTTTCAGTCTGATGACCTGTTAGCTAGGATTAGTACCAGGTTTCAGTCTGATGACCTGTTAGCTAGGATTAGTACCAGGTCTCAGTCTGATGACCTGTTAGCTAGGATTAGTACCAGGTCTCAGTCTGATGACCTGTTAGCTAGGATCAGGATTTCTCTGTTGGCGTTGCAGCAATGGAGTACCTTAACGCTGGGTGAGTTAGCGTGTAAATTATTTGTCTAATTTTTCCTCCCTACCACTGTGAGGTGAAGACACCGTAGAACAGAGTGTCTGAGGCGTTGTTGCCCTCTGGTGGTGGGAGGGTGAACACATCCTGGAGCACATTGAAGGGGAGCTGTTTCGGCAACTGACAGAGCAGAGGGGCTTTGGCGAAGGACGTCCACTTCCTCTGCAGTGTCCTCTGCCCACCAACATCATCCTGTGAAGACAACACAGGGACACAAACCTTCAGTGTTACCGCTTTGAAGTTTCTACATCATCACCTTATGCGGTCCTCTCTGTGCTCACTGTCACCTTGCAGACTTGGGCAACTCGGGCGATATGCAGCTCATCTACAAAGCGGAACTCTTTCCCAACTTCGCTAAAGAAGAAGTAGAGCTTCCTGTCAGAGAGGTCCAGAGATGAGCTGACAAAAGTTGGCTCTGAAAAACAGGAAGTGGTGACAGATGAGGAAGCTGAGGTGTCGTGCCATTTGGCATCAATGTAGAGAAAAGAGATCTG